AGTAAAGATTTATTGAAATGCGAAGCATAGGCGATTGAGCGAACCATAACTGAGGCTGAAAAAAAATGTGTGCTGCTGCGAGATAAATTATGTGAAAAGAAAAAAGAACACGAAATGCTGAATATACAAAGAGAGGAAAGTGCAAAATTGAAAGAAATTATTGAAAGTTCATGGAACAAAGTATTTCGTTTACAAATAACTTCAAGAAAAGGAGAAATGAAGATAAATCATTACATGATGAGCCATCTACTGCGGGACAAAATCCCCCACGGCTTGTCAGCGAAACGCGACAGTTCGCTGATCAAGTTTTATTTTTATTTTTCTCATCAAGAAATCGATAGGCATCAGCAGACATAGTTTTTCATGCTGATCACGAATTCGGCCTTCATTTTGAAAAGAAACTGAATTTTCAATTAAAAACTTTGAATTTAAAATTTTTGAAACCTTTAATTTTAATTTGCTCACTTTAACCTAAAGACTTCGTCTTTTTAGTGCAATTAGAATCAGCTACGCTGCATCGAATGACACTAGAATGAACCTTCTGGCTTTCATAAGGATTAATGCGTCAAAAAGATCACAGTTTGTGAGCCATTTCATTACTGCCAGTAAGCGTTTCTAAGCGCTTCTAATACACTACGTCCTCTACTTTTTACACTTTTACAGATTAAACTGATCCCCTCCCTTGTTTTTTAAAGCTCCAATATCCGAAGCTTTTTGATACAAGGTAGTCCTTAGGACAACGATTTCACTTGTTCGGTCTTCTTTTCTTGTTTCTTTTGATTTCTTTAAATAAAAAGCTTAAACTAAACTAAAGGTCACAGCGTTACCTTTGGACGCTGGGACCTCGGCTCGTCTCATGATGATATTCAGACTCATCACCCTCGATAACCTATAGTCTACCACATCTCATGAAAAAAACGAGGTGACAGCTGCATATGTTCCCTCGTGAGTATAAATCATTTCCTTCTTCTTTCAATTGCTATCAGCATGTCGTTAGTTGAATAAGAATCTTATTCAATCGGTCAGCACGACCTATATTAAATATAAGACATGTTCTTTCATCCTCTTATTGTGCAATTTACGTCTTTTGTTGCATATTTACTTTTATATTTTTTCATAACTTTTGCTAAGAAGTGGTCGTGAGCTATACGAAATGATATCCACATAAAATTTTCAATGACTTTTATTTACTTTCAACTGTAATGCATGGACTGCATGCTGAAGAAGTTCAATTTGATTCTAGATATGCTGGTTCTTACGGTCAATTTTTTCATTTGGTTCCTACATTCGAGAATCTGTGAGTACAGTCTGAGAGCGATGATTATCATAAAGCGTTTGAAAATGGTCCTGGATGGACCTTTCGGAGGTGGATAAATTAGGAAATTCAGCCATGATAAAAGCCAATGTGACTTACCAGACAATATGAAGAAAGATAGAAAGAAAGAAAGAAAAAGAAGAGTTTTGCAAGAGAACGGAAGGTTCGGCAAGACGAGATCGTCAAGTGTGAGAGACTTATATTTCCTCTACTTATAAGCCCTTGAGAGGTTATTGTACGTGTGCTTTATAATACGTAGTGTATGTATACTATACTTTATTTCGACCACTGTTTAAAAAAAAATTACAACCTACTGACACTAAAAACTAATATATCTACTACTACATGCCAAAAGATAAGAACAAAACGAAAAAGAAAAAGAAAAGGAACATCAGAAATATCAAAAAGGCAAGAACGGAGCGGACCAAAGCAAAATACCTATCTACAGAGATAAACTGTACATTGGGAGTAGACGTTGTGAACAATAATCGTTACACCCTACTGCCAAACTTTGCAATCTGAGAGAAAATAAACTGTTTTTTCATCTTTCCTTTCTACAGTAAATATAAAAACTCGTACGAAGAGGTGTCCTTAGCAACGTAATGTGTAGTTGATTTCAATGATAATTTCAATCGTTAGAATTATCAAAATATGGCAAAAGCGGAGATAAACAAAGTCACTCTTGAATAGATTTCAAGATACTCAGTTAATCTATATGAAACGCCATTTCTAGCGGATGAGTAGCAGGTGTTCGGTCGTCGTTGAATTTCACCAGATCGGTCACGTATGCCCGCCATCATTGCGTGATCTCAGTTTGACGCAGTATCAGTCAAGGACTTCTTTTAAACCGCAAACAATGTTGATGGTTATTCGTTGAGCAAAAATTGAAAAGTCAAAAAAAACCATGCTGACGAAGTAAGGTGACAACTTCGGACCAAATTTTTTCATGTCTTCGTTTGTATTCATCAGCAGCGCCTGATTTTAGTTTCCTCGTGTAGGCCACTTCCTTTGTCATTCTATACTGACTGCTTCTAATCAATGCAAGACTAACGTACAGCAGTAGTTATCTATTTTGATCTACGCCAGTGATAACAAGCAAAGAAGGAGAATAAAGCATGGCCGTAGAGTGGTAATGAATCGTCGACTTTTTTTCGCAGAATTAGATGCAAAATGAAGGTAAAAATGCTCAACGTAAGAGTACTGTAAAAAAATCTGAGCAAAATGTATTATGATTCACGTTGTAAGACAAGATGACGTTCATCGGCGTCCGATTCACCCGTCCCTAGACTGAGTTAGCAACCAATCTACGTTTATCGAGTTGCTGTCAATTGATCAAAACATTGCTCTAGTATACTACGGGTTCAGTCACAGAGTAATCAGTGAATGATCTAGCGCCATATCAACACAAACAAATTCTCTCTCTCTCTCTGAAATGCTACAAGTTTCAGAAGGATCTCAGAAAATGAGAAATTAGAATACCGTTCTCTTTTTCCTTCAGCGCTTGTGGACTGATTGATCGTCCACGATATTATCGAAGCAGCACCATTTCAACGTTCACAGAACCGTGGGCGAATGCCAGTGCCAGTGGAACAATGACTTGAGGTTAGAGTCTTCAACTAAACATTCATCACTCGATCATCCCTAATTCGACAATTTCAATGAAAATTCTCGTCGCAATGCTTTCGCATGCTTTTGTGAGACACGATTGAAAAGAAGTATTGAAGTGTAGAGTAGAGAAGTGAGTCCCTGTCCCGGAGTGACCATCGATCACTCCATCAGTTTCCAAGGGCATCTTCATATCTATTTCATCATCTTCTCAACACATAGTGTGTGCATAAGTCCTGGATATTGCATCATCTTCAGGCGTAGCATATACAGCAGACGATTTCACAATAGATGGGACCCTCTCTCGCATCGAAGGCAGATCTTCGTTCTTTGGAGTCCACCGCCTGTTAAATATGCCGATCATTTGAGAGCAAAATAAAATAAAAGCTAGACTATTCGATTGGACTATGCTCACTCGTGGATTTCTGATGCTCTGTCCTGTACTTATCTTTGTTCTTTCAATAATTCAGATAGTGCTGAGAAAAAGACATGTGTGCCAGTGTCAACTAACAAATGAATCACATGAAAAAGGAGAAAGAGAAAGATGAGAGTATAAATGAGACAGATACGTACCGAACAGCACTTTATTATCATATTACAAACCACTTTCCACGCAAAAAAGTAAGTACTCCGTTTTTCTCTTCTACTTTGCTATCTTCAAAAGGGAGGAACTGCGGATAACTACATCTGATAACTATCTCTGAACGTAGAAGCGACTGTGTAACAAGTCTCAATGGTTCTTTATACTGTTCGTCTTTCGCAATAGAACTTAGCAGAGGGCAGACTTGAGGAAAAAAGCGCTCTGTGCTCATCTATTCACAATGATGTATTTTATTTCAATCTGATCTTAGGAGCAAAAACAGGGTCTCATTGATGAAAGAAATGGGAGGCTAGTTTGTATACTTACAGAATATACCGTTGATGGGCTTCGTCAAAAACTGTGTATTCGAGAAAGAAATTCAATTCGGTTCCTCGTATATTTCACACTTTCTCGATGAGAACTAGCGAAGGGTATATAGAACAGGTCAAAACAATTAGGCACAGCTTCACATCAACAAAAAAAGAGTGTCACTGCGCTGAGTTGAATCGATTGGGCTAGACAAAGAGACGACTGGGATTCTTCTACATCCGATTCCATGATGATTCTGCACTCGTTTACATGCTATGGAAATAAGACTGATTCCTTTCATTATTATGAAATTTAGCTCTATTATTATGACTAGCAAGGAAATAAGCGTTATTAACTTTGCACTCTGTTTAGTTTGACAGACAGCTTCAGTGGAATGGAGTTTGGATCAGATCAACAGCAAGACACCCCTATTGCAACAGCGGCAGTACTAGTCGTAGAAAACGAAGAGAGCAAAAGATTCAGTATTTACGATATACATAAGAAATGGAGAAAGAATGGCGTACTGTTTATTGTATGCTGCCTCGGTTTTTTAGCTTCGTTTGATGAAGTTGTCTATCTTCCAGCATTATTGGAAATGGTCAAAGATTACGAAAGCACAAAAACACTAGGTCTATTAACTATCAGTATATATTTGTTTACCATGAGTCTTTCGAGTCTCATCTGGGGAGTGTTAGCAGACTATTATGGACGGAAGCCGATGGTAATATCTGGCTTTGGTGCTTTTATTCTGTCTTCTATTGGATGTTACTTCTCCCCAAACATCTATATTCTGTTAATTTTTCGAGCATTGCAAGGATGTTTTATCTCTGTCGCAGTAGTTGTAGGACAAGGAACAATAGCCGATATCTACCGACCGAACCAGCGTGGTACTCCGTATGGAATCTTTTATGCATTTTTTTTTGCTGCAGGACTTTTGGCGCCCGCTCTTGGCGGGGTAGTATGTCAACAACTTGGTTGGAGAGCAACATTTATTTTAGTAACCACTATTTCATTTATTTTATTCATAAGCTACATACTAATTGTACCTGAAACTCAACAGTATACAGTGATATGTACATATCAAAGCCAACAACAAATAACATTAATCGAATCAGATCAAGTTTCTAAGCCGACGTTAACAAACCCGTGCGCACCACTATCATACCTCATTGATTCCACAATTATCCCCTACATCTCTGTTCTAGCTTGCAGCTATATAGCAGTAAATTGTAGTGCTCTGCTTGTTCCAACTGAACTGGCTGAGTCGCCCTACTCTTTTCGACCAAACAAAATCGGGCTTTTATTCATTCCCATCGCTGCAGCTTTTTTAATTGGTAGTGTAGTAGGCGGTAAATTATCCGATCTGATAACGATGAAATTTTTTCAAACGTCGAAACTCCTCGAAGGTCGTATGATTCCGGGACTGATATTTTCGATATTAATAAGTATTGGCTTGATTATTTATGCATGGGCATTCCAATATGGTACATATATTTTAATTCCCATACTCGGACAAATGCTCGCAGGATTCGGTCAAGCAGCATCTCGTCCTGGGGTTATTTCATACGTTACAGTCAAGTATCAAGAGAGTGCAGCCAGTATTATTGCAGCAAACACGTTTGTTCAGCAACTGTCGACAGCGATTGTGCTGACATTTACCGTTCAAATCGTGCAAGTTATTCATGAAGGAGCGTTTTTTACCACCTTAGCTCTTTGTAATGTATTGACAACACTTGCTGCAGCTATGATCATTTGCAGAAAACTTATTTCATCTAGAAGTCCAGAAAAAAAATTGCTTCTTTAAATCACATTATAAAATACGATAGGGTGAATCCATGGAAAGCGTGTCGCCTTTGCGGAAAACATTATTTTAAATATTCTGTCGAAATTTTTCGGCAGCACCGAGCTAGAATATACGATCTGTAATAAAAGATGCGATCAATTACCTAGACATTCCTATAGCAAGAATCGGAGTCACCATCTAGTTTTCAGAGACAATCAAAGGTTTGCTACGAGTAGATAGAATATACCTGCAGAATCTTGTACTACGCCTTGTGATCGCTGCTAATCAGGTTATGCTGAGCGATTGTTGATGAGAGAAGAGACTGACCGCTGTAAGGTGCATGATCCTGACGATCATCTGAAAGGCATGTTTTGTATCAGAACAGTTCCATCCTGTTCAAGAAAATGAGGTGGTTCTTGGTGTTCCTTCGCTTCCGACTGAGGTTGAGCTTCAAGAAATTATTCGATGAAAGACAACTAGCAATGAATATGAAAGGAATCCTTCAGTACAGTAGTGGAAAAGTTCACTACTCAAAGTCTTGTCAGTCGAATGATCTGCCCAGTACAAGCCGAAGTTTATTACACGGGTGAATGCTCTCGATGTGCGACAACGCAACAGTCGTCTGCTGTGCTCAAAACATGATCGTCACTTTTGTGAAGCAGCGTTTTCCCTTGGTAAAGGAAACCAACTATTTGAGGTGAGTCGTTTACCGAGTCTCACTTTCACGTCTAGACATAAACATGCCCTTTCTTTCTCTCTCTTACCGATGGTGCAAGTGCGCACTTCAAGAGCAACCTGAGTATGCTCAATTTGGCTTCTCATAGCGACCGTCTCTGTCTCATTTCTCGAAGCCGGTGAAATCGAGGGAGCTAATACAGAACTCTCTACGGAGAAATGGGATCGATCTAGTTATACTGCCCTGCTTACACATCAGGATTCGATCTCAGCCCTTCTGAAGGCCATAGATAATTCTTGGAGAAGTTTGTAAGAGAAATAGTTGAAATTACCGTGCACAAGCTACTATCCTTAGTTATACCGGAAGCAGTGACCAGATCTTGATGGTTTCATGAATATGTATCGGATCTTTGATTGCAAATCGTGTTTTCTAGCTTGGTGCTACCAAAAAACTCCAACAGGGCATTAAAAAAATGTTTTCCACAAAGTTGGTACGCTTCCCATGGATTCATCAAGATAAGAAAAATTTGTCTATATTAATTTTCGAGTTCGTTTTTTTTTCAACATTAATATGCACATTCATAGGCAAATACGAAGCTACATAATATTCGCGAGAAAGAAAATGACAGACAGAGTTTGTTTTATCCTTTGCATAAATGCGTGGGCCATGCACAGAGAAGGAAAAAAAGAATGCGTAATGTCCATGGTAGAATAGACAGACTGTTCTTTGCGAGTGCATATGTTCTTACGTTTTTTGTCCTTATCATCCGTCGTTAGCGTATGCGAGAACGAGCAAACTGGAATAACTATGCCTGTAGAACGAGAAAGACCAAATCAGTCCATGGTTATCGTTGATTATATAACCCTATGTATACATCGCATTCAACTAGCTTGGAGTGTTTTATACAGTTAAATATTCTGATCGATGTGCACTCAAATCAGAAACGATCAGGGATTTTTTAGGAGAGAAGGTTTTATGAAATGATCTCGAACACCGAGTTCACTTTTGTTGGTCTGTTCGCTGATCTTTTGATTGTCAATAAACGTCTTCTCATCGAGCAAGGATATTTGCATCATTTATTGATCATTCGAAAACATTCTCTACACGTCTCAAAAGACAGAAAGCAATTATGAAATTGATTAAACTATTTCTGAAGCGTGTCGACTAGGAGTGCATCGGTTATTTTTTCGTATTTTTCAAAAATTCACAATAAATGTTTTGTATTTTCATAAAAACGATTTGCAACATTTTTCTAAAACGGCAGTTTTGTAGAGAAAACATTTCTCTACCAGATGATATATAACAGTTAATTTTAAAGTTTTTTGTTTCCTTTATAAAGCGTTTTCCTCAAACCTACGGTCGGTTAATAACCGTCGGTTATAACCGCTGTTATTAACCGATACGCCTCTCTATCAAAAACGCTTTTTAAAGAACCCCAAAACCTTTAAAATTAACTATTATATATCATCTTATAGAGAAATGTTTTCTCTACAAAACTGCCGTTTTAGAAAAATGTTGCAAATCGTTTTTATGAAAATACAAAACATTTATTGTGAATTTTTGAAAAAT